TGGGGATTTTATTGATTTAATTTGTTTTAAAAAAATTATTTGGGCAAAAATCCATGTGTCATTGAGTCATTGGTTACTTTATATTTTTATTCAAAATTCATATCTACAAATTATTTTTTGACAAATGTCGTCATTTAATTTGCCACTTTACACGTCATCGCGAGTGTAAACACACACCTCATATATTTTTGTTGATTGGCAAAAAAGTGCCAAAATGACACAGCAAAACCCTACATGAGGTGTTTAAAATGAACATCATCCACTTGAGGTGCCTAAGTGAAATTTCGTGCCAAATTTAAGGGGCCACCGATGGGTTAGCCCAAAGGATTATGACGTGATACAAATCTCATGTGCCATCCTTCAATCATATAACTTCATCATTCTGAAGAACACTAATAGGAAAGTTCTTCCCCATCCAATACAGCAAATGCCCATTTTTCAAAGCACAAGCATTTTTTTTATTTTTATTTTTTTTGATAACCGAGAAATCCGTCTGTGACCCGCCCTTTGGACCAAGCACAAGCATTTTACAACCTAAAATACATGCAATTTCTGTTTTTTTTTTTTCTCTTTCCTTTATGTTGTGGGTGGGGTGGGGTGAGAAGCAAGATGGTGTTAGGTAACACCAGGAACTCAACAGAAATGAACCAAAATTCCAGTGCAATGTGCCTAATATTAAAGACAGTTGCTCAAAAAGTACATACTCAAGAAAACTAGAAGTCCATGGCAACAGTATCTTTGGCAAAATGGCAAAATTAAGATCTTGGTTTCTCCTTCTTCTCCTTAAAGAGAGCCAAGAGAGAAACGCCAGAGACCTTCACAACTTTGAACCTGACACCAGGAATATCTCCTACGGCATGACCCTTTCGACCAAATCCAGCAATCAACACCTCATCCTGCAACAACAAGAATCAATGTCGGGAACTTAAAAAAAATAACATCAAAATCTTGTTTTGTGTGGCTAGATATATGGAAGTAAAGGACTCACGTTTTCTTCAATGTAGTTCAAACAACCATCATTAGGAACGAATGCAGCAATCTTCTTCCCATTTTTTATCAACTGAACCCTAGCACATTTACGAATAGCAGAATTGGGCTGCTTAGCCTCAATACCTCTGCAAAAATCATTTCAAATAATTTTGAATGGTTAGAAGCAAAGACCAAAAAACAGTAAGGCTAAAGAAGATCAGCAGCCATAAAACTCAGAGTATAAGATAACTTACATCTTCTCAAGCACAATGCCTTTAGCATGGGATGACCCAGCAAATGGCTTCTTCCATTCATTTCCAAGATGGGACTTCTTGTAGGACTTGTCAGCCCACCTCTGTCTTCTACGGTGGGACTTCAGCTTGCGTCCTGCTCCCATACCACGTGTCTTCCTGAAATTTTTACCCCGTTGAGTGACAACATCACAAACAGAACCATCCTTCGTTTATGCTCTCTCACTTCAACTAATATATTCTCAAGTACTATTGGAACATCTCTATTATTAGTCAATTTGGGCAATGAAAAAGCAACGAATTTCCATTCCACCACAAAAAGGGACAAAATATCGATCTACATAAACAATAATCTTCCCTATCAACCCCCGAATGTTAATCGTCTTAGCATTATAGAATTCGTCACTGTAATCTAGGAAGAAGCACATCAAATTTCTTCCAGTTAATTCACACCAAAATGTACCTATTCTACATTCCAGAATTTCTGAACATACCATGCCATCTCCTTATTCAATAGTGCTTTAAACAACACAACATAAATAACTTCAAGCACCATCAATTCGTGCAAACAGATATATACTGTTCCAATAATCTCAATTTCCACCAATACAAATCACAATGATATTCTTCTTTTTTTTGTTAAGTACACAATTACATTCTTCTAATAATGAGATACTTCTAATTTCTCAATTTCAACTATCGCGGAGGTACAGAGGCAGTTTCCAAAAGACACTCGGCTCAAGCAACAAATTTCTCAAGTTCAGCAATTTATTAAACAATTATTACATATTGGAGACATCGAAAAGCTATAATTCGCATCAGCTAGTTTACTCATGTAACCTATCCCATACAATTCATAATATAAGCTTTTCAAACAGACAAACAATAGTATCCAAATGCTAAGATATGCAGAAGGAGAAAAAAACATCAGGAATCCGATAAACAGGGAACGAAAAATCTGGACTTGAAATACAGATATAGTAAAGTTTTTTTAATAATGCAACTTGTAGTATAACTGTAACACATAAAAATGATTATAGGAGAAAAAAATGAAACCGTACCCCATGTTTGCTGATTGAAGAGAAACTCAAACTTCAGATTAGGGTTTGCAAGGTTGAAGAAGCGAAGAAGCAGCTGTTCGCAAAACCCTAATCGTTATAAACAGCTTTCAAATTCTGATCATTGAATTGGATCTCTCAGATTGGGCTTGTCCAAATTGGGCTGAAAATATTTGGGCTTGCGGAAGCTGAAAGATTAGGCCTTCTTATGAGTTTGTAAAGGAGATGTTACATCTTTGGCCGCTCCGAGTCTCGACAAAAATATTTACATTCGCTAGCTAATATATTATACATTTTTTTTAATTCTTTTTTATGTGGGAGTTATTATTTCAATTTACTTTTTTCAAAAGTAACTATGAAACTTGGTTATTATGTCAATTTTCTTTTTTTTATTACATAGTCGATTAGGGAAAGGAGAAAATGAGAATTGAACTCACACCTATTATCACGAGACTCCCACTGTACCACTATTTTGTAAGTTCTTGTAACAATGTGAATCAATTTCTCTTGTTTTTATTTAGCTTGATAAAACTTTTTCCTTTTCTAGTGATAAAGAACTATAGCATATAAAGGGTACAAGTTGATTAAGTAACATCCTCCAGCCAATATTATTAGTTTCTTACTTTCTACAGATTCTTTTTCCAGGTTATAAGGACAGACATTATTTCTAGTTGTCATCCCCTAGCTAGAAATTTTCAATAGAGGGCAATTAATTGTATTAAAGTCGAGATCATCCCAATTCATTGTTTCCAATGTTGGGCCTCTTATCTTATAGTGTCCACGCTTCATATGTCCAATCATGAACTTATGGGGCAATGTTGGAGCCCCAACATCATTTGTGAGATAAGAACATGGACTTTTTATTTGATCTTGAACAATTCTCCCCTCGTGAGCTTTACTATTGAAGCTGAATTAAACCCAATGTTCATTTTTTTACCACTTAGAAAGTAGACCCTTGCACATAATGAAGATGAGTTAAGAAACAATATGAAGCACACACCACAAAGCTACAAGTGAAAATTCATCCAGATTACTATCTTTAACATAAAAATCTGGAGAATAGATAGTAAATCTATGATTAATCAACTGCCCGGGGGGTTCATTACACTTAGTAGAAACATTGTTGGGATGCACAGCAGTCTACATATGAACGCTTCAACTGAAAAATTGCAAATGAAGTTACATTGCTTACTATCTCCTAAGGAAGCATATCAGTAGTGGCAGGTGAGATCATAGAGGTCTCAACAATTCTGGAATAGCTTTACAAAAATCAGCTAAGAGATTTTTCCAGGAGGCCGAAGCTCAGCAAGAGTACTTGGGAAGGGAAAATAGTAGATTACGGTTACTAGAGAAGAGAACAAATGTTTATTTGAAACATGCATGAAATGCATCTATTTGTGGCCCTTCTTTAATAAACTACCAATCTTCTTCAACATAGTGCCATTCTTCTTCTTGGGTGAGTAATCAATATCCATATCTTCAGATAACGGAGAACGCAGTTTGCCACCAATAGTATGGTAGTCCAAAGAGCCTGTTCTCTCGACGTATCTCCCATTATTGTTAGTTGAGAGCATAGCTGCAGCTGCTTCAGCAGCCTTCCTCCATTGATCAGATTGTACTTTTAACCTCCTCAACTCAGCTTCCATATCAGAGTTAGTTGTCTGCACTGCATCCAACTCCTCGATGACTCGTGCTGCTTTTCTGCTACTTTTATCTGCTTCCTCACTCAAATACCCCAGCTTCATCAGGGCCTCTCTTTCAGCAATTCTAGCGGCTTCTGCTAAGGCAAGAACCTCATCATTCACTTTGGTACTCTCCATTTCCCTCTTCTCGATTTCTGACTTCAGCATCTCATTCTCCTCAGTAGTACTCTGCAACTCTGTCTCTTTGTCAGATAAACTTGCCTGTAAATCTGCTAAGAGCGACTCTGATTTCTTCAGTTCATCTTGTAATTCAGACTCGCGGTCAACTGACTGCATTACTTCAAGTTGTACATTGAGGCCCTTATTTTCATCTGAAATCATTTGTAATTCAGCTTCGTTGTTCATCAATTTCTCCTTTAACTCTTCCATATCTGCTTTTGCAGCACTTAACCTTGAGGTCCATTCAGTCTCTCTTTGAATTGATTCATACTTTGTGTGCTCCACTATCTCATAAGCACTTCTTATCTGCAATGTGTTCTGAATGCATTCTTCCTGATACTTTCTCTCAGAATCCTCCACTGCAGCTCTTAGTTGATTTGCCTCGTCTTTAAGATTACTTAACTCAGTTTTTAGTTTGTCAGCTTCCACATTGATTCCAATTTCTTGTGCAGCTGCAGAACTTTCTGTAGGATCTACCAGGTTCATGTTTTTGCTGCTTTGATCAGACTGGAGTTTGTTGACACGTTCCTCCAATGCAGCTACTTGACGCTTTGACTGTTCCAACTCCAATGCCAAGGATTTGCAAGCCTCCATTGCCTTCAGACCTTCCGAGCGTAAAGTATTGCCTGTCATCTTTGCAACTTCCAACTCCAACTGAGCTTTACTCGCTTCTTCAAGCACAGTAGCTTCAGATTCCTTGCTTTTGTTTAACTGGTTTTGCAATTGCTCAAGCAATGTAAGGGTTTCTTTGAGTTGTACCCTTAAGCTTTGGGTCTCAGAATGAGCTGATTCAGCATGGCGAGCTTGAGTGGCTTCAGAATCAGCTACTCTATCAAGCTGAAGTTTAAGGTTCTGGATTTCATTCAAGGAGGACGCCAGAGCAGCAGAGTCCAATTCATGCTGCTTCTGTACAGCCTCAAGTTCAGATTTCCATTCTCGATCCCTATCTTGTGAGATCTTGCGTAGCTCCAAGAGTTGAGCTTCCTCAGAATCAGAGCATTTAAGCAGCTGCTTCTCAGACTCCTCAAGCTTCTCTGACATGACTGCTAACTGCCTCTTAACTTCGTCAGCCTCTTGTTGAGACGTTTTCTTCAATGATTCTGATAAACTGAGTTGTTCCTTTGCTGCCTTCACCTCTTCGCGAAGTTGAGCAAGCTGGTCTTCCAAAGCGGACATTCTGCCTGGACGCTTCTGCTGTGTTTTGCAAAATAAGAACAATGGGCATCTTAGTAACAAGAGAGCAACTTAAACAGAAACAAAATATAAATAAAAGAGACAATTCGTGAATTCTCAACTTTTAAAGTTGTATAAACTAAGACTTCCATCAAACAGTGCAACTGCCAGCAAGTCAGACAGGCAGCAGCAGTCAAGGAATAAGCAAGATAACAGGAGCACCATGTTCAATGAATTTGCAACAATTATTTTCCACCTTAACAAAATAACAAGTCCAACAGAGCAAAGAAAGCTACAGATGCAGAGGGTTCTGCAGATTTAAACTAAGCATAAAGGGACATTCTAACTGCTAACTATAAGAATGTAAACAGAAGAAAATTAAATTCCGCTTATTTGATATACCTTGTCTCGGTACTGATAATCATTGATGAACATTAAAATCAAGGGTTTTAACATTCTTCAAGTAATACAATAAATTTTGGGCCAAAGAAATATTCAAGATTAGTATATTACTCAAGTACCTCTATTGCTGGACTTCGTGGTGACCGGCGACCAATAACTTTAGGACTCCTGTCTTTTGGTGTCCTGCTTGCTGGATTTGGAGATGAAACAGAATCAACCTCTGGCCCTGAAGTTCTGAGCTTTCGAGCTGTCTTTGTTGTAGATGAAGATGTCCTTTGCGGCACCTCAACAGAAACAGTCCTACAGCCAAAAACATGTGAGAAGGAGAACGAGATACTCAAACAACAAGCTCATACAAGAGATGAACTATCAGCAGAGAATGATTTCACAACAGTCATGCAAATTAACTTTGCAGAACTAATGCAGCAGCAGTAGTATTTCTTTTCTAATAAATTATAGAAGTTAAATAATACTCTCCCTTCGTCTCATTTTTTGTTTGTCTTAATTTCCTTTTAAGTCTGTTTCAAAAAGATTGCTTCTGTCCTTTGTTGGCAACTCTTTAGTTTCAATTTTCCACATGACATGACTAATTAAATGACATTTTGGTATGCTACATATCTTTAGTTTAAGACCACAAGATTCAAAAGTCTTCTTTACTTTCTTAAACTCCATGCCAAATCAAAACCAAACAAATAAATTGAAATGGAGGGAGTATAGATTTTCAAAGATGGATCACATATCAAATAATCTGCAGCTGCAACATGAAAAGACAAAATGGAACTTTGAATTATTGCTATAACACTCCTTCCTTTCCTCAGGATCAATTCAGTGTTTTTTTTTTTTGAGATAGAAAAGCTTATCACATGTTCATTTTCAAAGCACGGATATGAGCATCTAAAAAATATCATTCATCAACTATAATTAAGAATGTAGTATTTTCGTTCACTGTCATAGAGCAGTTGCACAGGCGATTCTTTGCTCAAAGGACCAATGGCTCAAGACAATCATCATCTGCTGTTTTAGAAATCAATTTGCCTATGCGGGAATGAAATGAAAGGGACAAATTGAAACTGTGAATTCATAGTTGTTGATTAGTTAAGATACTCTTTGAATTGATCTTACAATATAACCAATAAACCACTTTATTCGAATCTCATGGAAGGAGGGGTAAAAAACATAAGTTGAGGCCTTTGAATTACTTGCAAAGTTCACAAAAGCAGCGTGAATGAATTTAGAAATACCTTGCTTTTGGTGTCTGCATGCTCATTTCCTCTCAATGGAAGATGTCGAAATGACAAACTTAATTTGTTTTCTTCAAAGACCAACCTGACCTGCAACACGAGAAACATTTTAGCAGACTCCTATCTGTTAAAGAAATGCTATTGAGGGATCTGAAAACTTTCACATTCATAATAGATACTTATAAAACAAAACAAACAGCACTATCAAGAAAACAACATAGAAACTGCCTCCACTTGCACCAACAAACCTACTACCGGAGGAAGAAACCAAAAAAAAAAGAAAAAAGAAAATTGGAAGACAATGAAATTTGCAATCCAAGAAAACAAAGTACTATCTTTATGTAAGCCATTTATCAACTTTCTTAACTTTTACTTCAACTTTTAATGCAGTGCTTATACTGTATAGAAACAACATGGTGCATAAGAAAATGACATTTGAAACCACATTTTAGCAAACAATTCAAAAGTCCCAATTTAACACAGTAATCACTAGTGACCTATAAGGATTGACAAACAGATAATGCTTTTCAAAAGAAGGGAAACTTGAAAATCCATCAAGCTGCAAAGAGACAGCAGATACAGCACCAAAATAAGATCCATTATTAGCTTTTCCACACCCCATACCCTCTATCCAATTGGATCAATCATGTTTACTCTTGAGATAAAAAGTTACTTGTGAGTTGTGGGACTTCTAATTATATTTTTTATGTAAAAACACAAAGCAATACGAAATAATCTAAAAGTTTCTGGGTGATATTTTCCTCTCCTTCTTCATGTTTATGTTAGGTGACATAGATCCAAAGAAATTACAAACTCTTCATTGCCCTCCCCAAGTAGACCACAAAATAAAACAGTTATATCTGCTTGTGGAAAACAACAAAGCCTCCAAAATCAGAGCTCTAAAGCTATGTCTACCTACAGTGAAAAAAAACACAAGAGCTCCTTAAGACTGAAACTTTATCAAACAAGAAACCAACCCACATGAAAAATCAGACTTCTAAAGCTATGTCAACCTAGTACACAAACTCAAAATTTCTCCAAAAACTGAAACTTTATCAAAAAAGAAACCGACCCACAAGAGAAAACAGTGCTATAAAGCTATGTCAACCTAGTACATTGTAAAACAAACTCAAAATTTCTCCAAAGACTGAAACTTTATCCAAAAAGAAACCAACCCACATGAAAAATCAGTGCTCTAAAAGCTATGTCAACCTAGTACATAGTCAAACAAACTCAAAATTTCTCCAAAGACTGAAACTTTATATATAAAGAAACTAACCCACATGAAAATCAGTGCTCTAAAGCTATGTCAACCTAGTACATAGTCAAACAAACTCAAAATTTCTCCAAAGATTGAAACTTATCAAAAAAAGAAACTAACCCACATGAAAAAGCAGTGCTATAAAGCTATGTCAACCTAGTACTTTGTAAAACAAACTCAAAATTTCTCCAAAGACTGAAACTTTATCCAAAAAGAAACCAACCCACATGAAAAATCAGTGCTCCAAATCCATGCCAACCTAGTACATTGTAAAACAAAGGCAAAATTTCTTCAAAGACTGAAACTTTATCAAAAAAGAAACTAACCCACAAGATAAATCAGTGCTCTCAGCAAATACAAAACACACCCAAATACATATAAACAGAGGAAACACCAACATTCCAAAGAACAAAAAAGCAACCCTTCTCCAACACTTGTGTAGATAAATGAACAGTTTCTTAAGACTTACCCAAAAAGATCTCAAGAAAGTGAAAATCAAGAAAACAAGCTGCAGCAGTTCCTTTGTGGGGGGTAAAAAATGAAAGAAAGAAAATGTGGCTCAAGCTCCAAGGAAAATGAAGCAGATGAAAGAACCCTAATGGGGGTGAAGCAATCGAGGGTACGTAGCTTAATTTACGTTCGTACACACACAAACACACAATAGCTATAGCTATCAGCTAAGCAAAACACAGTTTCCCAAGTCACTGAGCACTGTCTTCTTTCACTTAACTGTGTTTGTTTTTGTCAGTGAGTATGGGATAAAGAAAATAAAACGAACTTAACTAGAAAAGAAAGAAAAATTAATGCAAGATAATAAATGTCCTGATATGGAAGACCCACCCTCGGGGAACAAGCGTTTGACCACTCTCTATGTGATCGGAGTTAGGGGTTTACATGATCAGATCGATTCGAATTTTTTAAATATCAAATCAAATTATTTGTGTCGGATTTTTAAATTTATAAACCAAACCAAATCAATAAAACTCAGGTTTTTCAACCTTGGGTTTTTTCGATTTTTTGGATTGTTTCGGATTTTTCCGATAAAGTATTCATAGAAACATATAATTTATTTGTACTTCAAATATTTCTTTAGATCTATCAAAATACAACTATCTAAGATGTTTCTTAAAAAAATAACATAAAATATGATATGATTAATGACACTAAAATATCCAACAAAAATAATAATAATGAAATCGCGTAAAACAAATATTGCAAATTAACAAGTCATAATGAAAATGATCATAATTTAAAAGTACTAAATCATGCTAAAATAAGTTCAATAAGTATTAGTTAAATGACTAGTTATTAAAGGAAATTAAAATTAGATTATGTATTTTAATTGTTTAAACCAATGTAAAACTAAAGAACAAATATTCAATATTATTGTCATTCTTAGAGTTGAATTGATTTTCTTTTTGCATTAGTATTAATTTGATTTTGATTTAAGCTTTATTATAATTAGCAACATCTGTGGACAATAATCTTTATTGGACCATTCAGAATTCTAAGTTTCAAACTTAAAATAATATATTAAAAGATAAAAACTATGAAAAAGTATAAGAAAATATTTTAAAATTATATCAAAGTAAATATTTTTATGTATAAAATAAAATTTTAAAATTATATATATAATGTCGGGTTAGTTTGATCTCGGGTTGATTTTTTTTTAGTTAAAACCAAACCAACCCAAATATAATCGATTTTTTTTCAATACCAAATCAAGTCAAACCAAACCACTAGTCGAATTTTTTTTTATTTGACTCAATTTACAGTGTGGTTCGATTTTCAGTTCAATTTTATACCCCCTAATCGGAGGTGTTTATCATCCGAGCAAACGTCTTATACACTTCTTATTTTGGTATTGCTAGAAAAAGAATTCAATATTTTAGACCAAACGAGTAGGTTTTATTGTTATTATAAAGTATAAAGCTGCCAGTAGAACGAAAGGAACGATGTATTTTATTGATTGTAACTAAGTATATATAGATTATGTACAACTTCTACAGCAAAGAGATAAACTAAGAAAAAGATAAGACTTATCTATAACCTATATACAAGGAGGAAGTTACAACAGAGTCCTAAAGAGAAGACACTACTAAATCTGATCCGTTATTACGCCCCCGCAAGTTGGTGGTGTCAACAACACCCAACTTGGAAAATTGCTGAACAAAAGAAGCTTTGGGAAGAGGTTTTGTGAGTATGTCAGCCACTTGATCAGCTGAGTGAAGGTGGTGAACTTCAATATCCTTGTTCTGAACTTGTTCACGAACAAAGTGAAAATCAATGGCGACATGCTTCTTCCTACTATGAAAGACCGAATTGGAACAAATGTAAGTGGTGCTGAAGTTGTCACAGAAAACCTGTGGAACTCCCTTAAGTGAAAGCCGAAGTTCATAAAGTAGATTTGTGATCCAGTTGGTTTCTGCAACAGCAGCAGCCACAACTCTATACTCAGCTTCTGTAGAGGACCGAGATACAGAGCGTTGTTTCTTGGAGGCCCAGGAAATTGGTGTGTTACCTAGGAAAGTGATATAACCTGAGGTAGAAGTGCGATCATTTGGATCACCAGCCCAATCTGAATCTGAATAAACAACCAAACGAGAATATGGAGCTTTGGCAATCTGTATGCCATATTGGCAGGTATGATGAAGATAATAGAGTAATCGCTTGACTGCTTTCCAATGAGAGTGGCGTGGATTGTGCATAAATTGAGAGAGTTTGCTAACTGTGAAGGCAATATCAGGACGTGTAAAGGATAAGTAGTGCAACTTTCCAATTACCCGCCTATAAAGAGTACCATCAGCTGGAGGATCATTCACTAAAGCTGTCAAAATGGTAGTTGAGGTCATATGATGAGTGGCACCTGTATCAACAATCCAAGGAGCCTGTTGAGTTGGAGATCGAGCAGCATAGTTTGCCCAGGCTTATATGTGATCGTGTGATTGTGATCTGCAAACCTTAGCGGAATGACCAGGACGGTCACACAACTGGCACTTTAGAGTGTGGTCGTAACGCTCATGTTGGTTATTGTTGCCAGCACACGCTGGTTGGGCACGCCTTGACTAGTTGGTGTTGGGGGAATTTGCATTTGAACGCCTATTAGAGGTGTTTCCTTGGCGAGGATGCATGTTTGTTTACTGTGCAATAGCAGCAGTAATTGGTGTTGAGAGTGGCTTCTTTGCTTCTTCATGCTTGATGAAAAGCTCATGGTCAAGTAACTTCTCATAAAGTTCAGGATAAGAGATAGCAGAATCTCTTGCACGGATAGCAGCTGATATTTCACGGAATTCAGGTCCAAGTCCAGTGAGGATTTTGACAATCAGTTCCTCATTGGACACTGGAGCTCCAGCAGTGGCAAGTTCATCACAGAGAGATCGAACCTGGTGCAGATAATCAGCGACAGGAAGTGTTTCTTTTGCGAGGCGAGCCAGACGATCGCGCAAACTAAATATCCTTGTTTGCGATTTGTTGGCATACGCAGTGTGCAAAGCATCCCAAGCAGCCTGGGAAGTGGATGCAGCGACAACCGTAGCAGCAAGATTTGGGTCAACTGAGGCCAAGATGGCGTTTTGAATTAGTTGATCTTGGCGATACCATGAAACAAATGCAGGATTTTCGATGTCCTGATTATTTTGAGCCACTGTACGGGCAGGGGCTGGGTGAGAACCGTCGAGATGGCCAAAAAGGTTGTGACCACGCATAAGCATGGACACTTGTGCTTTCCAAAGGGAAAAATTGTGGCTGCCAGTTAATTTGATTGGTAACTGGGTGATAGGATTAAACTGAACAATTGTTGTATTGGCATTGGAGTTGGTTACAGTGATGTTTGGGGCCATTTTTATGGGAAGGGTGGGAGGGTTTCTCGACAGAAATTTACTCGTGAGAGTTAATTGGCTCTTGATACCATATAAAGTATAAAGCTGCCAGTAGAATGAAAGGAACGATGTATTTTATTGATTGTAACTAAGTATATATAGATTCTGTACAACTTCTACAGCAAAGAGATAAACTAAGAAAAAGGTAAGACTTATCTATAACCTATATACAAGGAGGAAGTTACAACAGAGTCCTAAAGAGAAGACACTACTAAATCTGATCCGTTATTAGTTATCACTTAATCATAACTGGAATAAGGACAAAAAAAAATTCCTGAATTATTTGAAATATCAATTTCACTTTAATTTTATTGTTATTTAAAAATAATGTCGTGTTAGTTAACTAAGTTCTAAAATATTGCTCACTTAGTTAACTAGCTCAAAAATACTCTTCCCACTGATAGTTGATCCAAAACAAAGAAAAATTGGTCATTTTTCTATTGAATTATTTGAAATGAGGCAATTTTGCTCCCCATTTAAAATTCAGGATAAGTGCTTATACTTGTAAAGAGTCGAACAAAAACTTATATAGGAGATTATATTCTTTGATTGTTTGAAATGACAATTTTCTCTTTAATATATTATCAAGATTAGATTTTCAATTAACTATTTACTTTCAAAATTATCGTATCCATAATTGAAATCTAAGATGACTTAAAATTACAAAAAGTATTAGGAAAAAAGCTCAAATGCGTAATCAAATTATCAAAAATATCTTGATCATGTCACTCGTTACTCGTTAAAAGTTGTACATATTTATACCACCGACGTGACACATTTTGTTCATACTTGCCACCAAGGGTGGTGCTATGGTGGTATCAGGGTGTCCAAATGAACACTCTTCATAAAAAATATTTTTATATATATATATAACCTAATCCATTTGAATTGTCATTAGTAGCACATCTCCATAATTCTTGAAGGCAAATACCAGTTGGTCTAAAGAGAGAACAACAACAATGTCCATTGACTAAATAAAGAAATAGTCTCTCTTGTTTTACCATTTTGTATACATAATAAAGATGGAATCATATATAATCACAAAAAACAAGAAAATGCTTCCTCTAAAATAAATTCACAACTATCACAATCTCAAATGATCAACACTCGTGGGAGAAGCGAAGATTTAAAAAAAAACAAGTATCATTTTTTCTCTGATAAATTAAAAAATCAAGCACCATGCAGGAATGCACATACAGTAACGAACTCGTGTTGATTTTATGGAGAAGTTGAAGTTGCATTGAGTCGATCAACGAATGCCTTTGTTCCAAATCTTCATGTATCTCCTCTGCGTTTACCTGGTATAGCAAGGCCGCGGTATAGCTTATTACTTTGTGATAAGACAGGCTAGTTGACAACTCCATTCACATATTTATCAGCATTAGAGGTGTTTGTGGAGGTAATCTCGACCTTTGGTGGACCAGAATGCCGTCTTGTAATGGCTGGTGAAGGTGAGTAAGAGAGTCGCTTCTTCACAGAACCAGCTGATCCCTTTGCTGGTGGTGTGCCATTTTCCACGCCTAATGGACTCTGCAATCGTGTTGTTCTTGCTTTTGCTGACTGAGTGGACGCCATATAACTTGGTACGGATGAGCAGCTTCCCAAGCTCTCATCATCTCTTACTGATGATCCTGCAATGCTATGCCTCCTGTTCATTTCTGATTGAACGCTAAACACACTTCGTGTGTCATCTTCTTGGTTTATTGCACTGACTCTTGCACTTCCTGGTTTCGGTTTTCTAGCTGTGGACGGCTTGGAAGGTGTAGTAGGAGACTGGCGGCTTGAAGGACGGTTTGGTTTTTGGCTTAAAGGAGAAGATGGGAGTTCAGAATTCAGCTGATGACGGGCAAATGCCTTGGTAATTTCCCCTCCAGCCATGCTCATGCTGGCACTTCTAACGGACATTTGATCACTTTTTAGTTCTTTCTCGGACATGTTTTGGTTTTCCCTAGACCTAGCACCCATCCACCGCTCTAACCAGCTCCAACCCCATTGAGGATTGGTTGGATCCATAAATAACAAATTGGTAACTTTTGATGACTTCTTCCAGGTTTGCTGTCCAGACAACATTTTTGACATAATCAATGACTAGTAATGTCGTTAAAAGCTCACAAGGAAAACCATATATGTTTAAACATGGAAAGTTATTCCTTTGAAGATATTGCATAGGTTATTGGTAAATACAGAAAATCAAAGAGAAGAAATGAAGCCAAGATATCAGCAATAATATCATCATTAGAGTTTGGATTTTTCCTTTTTTTTTTTATTTGGTAAATATCATTGTAAAATTTTGACTATACAAAAATATGACTTTTCGAAACATCTCCTTGGCACAACGGTAGAAGGCTACATTCATCACCATTTGCATACCACACAACATAGCCTTGGGAATTGAACTGCCCTCTTTTCAAAATGTTAATAGTTGTATATAAAAAACCGATTAATGTAGTACCTGGTGGGAATACGAATAGGCGAGTGCTCTTTCTCGTCTCATTGCAGCTTCATATCTGCCGAGCAAACTTGCTTCAATTTGCTCTTTTGATTGTAGAGTATCATTCCATTCCTCCCCTCTCTATCAAAACAGAAAACATTAGACGAGGCGCAATAAAAAAAACCTCACACACCCTTAGACAAGAGGACCCCCATCCCCAAATCCTTCAAAGGAAACAAATAAAAACAAAGAGATCAACTTGGGCTGCTAGCACAAAATATGTTACTTACAAGATCTAAGCCGTTAAATACTCAGCTATAGCATATTGTTAAAAACGCAAAAAGGCATTCACAAATTATACAAAGATTTTGTTCACAAATGTAGGACAAACAGATGAATTGCTCCTGGTGAAATTTCCAAACACAATCTTTTTACTGTGCAACGATATAACAGTTACCAGTAAACTTCACTTGAACACTGTCACGGTCGATTTGAGAACAAATTCATCTCAGTTATTCTAATGGAAAATGAAATTCCACTATTCCAGCACCAAATTCATTTCTTAGAAAAAGTTGGAATTAAGGAAGAATACTGACCCTCAAACTCTCAAGTTCTTTTGCATGTTTCTGCATAAGCTGCCTCTGGAGAGTTCTGTTCTCTTCCAACAACCTGCTCCTTCTAGAACTAATCTGAGACTGCGCACGAGATAAAGTCTGCATGCATTTCAGAGTGTTTGCAGTTTGCCGTTTGACAGTAGGTCCATCAACTAATGTTTTGAGTCTGACAAGTCCTCTTAAAGCTCTCAATGCTCTTCTGGCCTGCAAATGAAACGCCGAACGCAAGTTCTATCTCAGTGCCAAATCATGTTTTCACAAGTAAAGTAAAATTAAACAGCAAACTAGCTTTCTATTGTTTTTCTTACTAAGAGAATCAAGTCTATTATAAACTAGCTGAAAGAAATTCTCCCGAAAAGGGGAAAATCACTTGAAATGACAAAATATGAGAGTAGAAATGCATACCAGATATCCTCGAAATGTTGTCTGAATCCTGATAGCAGCTATTTCCTCCTTGGATTTTCCTGGGAATTGATTGACTGTAGTTAATCGAACAACCTCTGCAGCAGCCTGGGCAGCTGCAACAGCCGCTTCAGCTGCTGCAGCTGTAGCAACTGCAACGGAATACACATGTTTCGTCTGTTCTTCTTCCACTTCAGCCAGTTTGACCTCTTCCACCGGAGGAACAGGTTGCGGAGGAGACACTGAGGCAACCACCAAAGTTGAAGAATCCGGGAGTGGCTGCTTTTCTTTCCCAAACCATTTCTTCTTTGATTTACCATCTTTCTGAAATAACACTCAAGAAATGTCAGGCACTAGTTATATGTGTCAAAAAAATGTTACATCATTCTAGAGAAACACTAGCATATGATTATTTCAACATAACCTTGTCAGACTTTTCCTTAGAATTTGGGCTCAAGGCCTTCTTTACTGAAGAAAACCAGCTTCCTTTCTTCCCCATCTTCTCGTTCGACAAATTGTCTTATCTAGAAGACAAAACACACTACATTACAGGGATGATTCAACCTTTTCAATTGGAGATTCAGGTAAACTTAGTAAAATAACAGAAAGAGAAATATCCAATCTAATGCCTAAAAAGTACTTGGTATGAAGTATCATGTGAAAGATCACAATTTCACACTAATGTACAAATGCCTAAAAGTCGTTTGTCCATAAAATTCCGGAATACGACTTCAAGAATTTGAAAAACACCAAAGAACTGTTTTCACTCCAAATTACTCACAAAAATCCAAAAAACAACTTCAATTTGTATTCATGGCCAAACAAAACAATTTTCAAATATCATTTTTCACTTTGAACACAAAAAACTACTTTTCAAATACTCACAATTTTCATGGTCAAACAAGCCCAATTTACGATATGCTTGTGTTTGAGGAGAGAGGGGCAAGCTAAAATCACCACAAGGTACAAGTTGAAAAATGTAAGAACTGGAAGATCTATGGATAATACTTTATGTCTAACCAAGTTATATAGTTTCTTTTGTGAGCCTAGATTATCCAAATCTATTTTTTCAACCAGATATACAACCAAACAAGATTCTGAATCCATAAAACTAGGCTGCTAAACAAGAGAATCTCATCAATCCATAAATTGACTCTCACACTCAATACTTCAAAGAAAGAAGAAAAAATATAAACTTGGAAGACAAGTTAATGCACCTATAGCCTCAAGAACAATGGCATTTCAATTAGCTTCCTTTTATCCCAATGGCTCAAATTCAAATAAAGATTCCAACTTTTCAGAAAACTATGCACTACCCACATACCAAAACAGCAAGAACTTCAAGAAAACAGAATTATTTTTTTTATTGATTTGAACAATACCCTTTAAAATTATGAAAGATGTCAACTTTTCAGAAAACTATGCACTACCCACATACCAAAACAGCAAGAACTTCAAGAAAACAGAATTATTTTTTTTATTGATTTGAACAATACCCTTTAAAATTATGAAAGATGTCAACTTTTCAGAAAACTATGCACTACCCACATACCAAAACAGCAAAAACTTCAAGAAAACAGAAAAAAAAACATCAAATTTATTGATTAGAACAATACCCTTTAAAATTGGAGCTGCACAGATCTCAGAAAAGCTTGTATTCTCTTCCTATATTGTTCAAAGACTGCAGCTTTTTTCTTCTTTTTTTTCCAACTGTCAAGAGTCACAACAATGTGGCATCTACTTCTTCCTCTTCTTCTCTGTAACCGAAAACAAAAAGATAAGAAAAGAGTTGGACCCCTCTATCTTTTGACCCTTTTTTGCATTTTGTATTGTGAGAGAGAGGGAGAGAGAAAGTAGATCTTGATTAAAGAACAATTCCAACTAATGAATTGAGAGAAATTGAAAGAAGAACAGCTGGTGTTAGCAAGTGTGGGGGAGCTGGAACACTGGACCCTACATTAAATTATCAGATTCTTCACCCCTCAATATTTTTGTAGTATTTGGTGAACAATGATTAAACCGACACAATTTTCATTGTACCGTTAAGCATTGATGGCATCAGTGAAGAACAGTTTTTACATCCCAAAGAGCAAAAAATCAATTTTTATGGCTAGTTGGAATATTTATATATTTTTGGCAGAATGATCTGGGAGATTCTCGTAGTTGACTTCGTCTGTTAGTCTGTTATGATACATATAAAAAAAAGAGAAGTACTGATACTATTGAACTTCACATAAATTATTAGTTTTGTTCTGAACTATTAGCAACCTTGAAAACACTTTTTGACTAACTGAATTTAGATACACTCTTGATCATGAGGCTCTCTAAACTTGACGAAAATTTAGGGATATATTTCACTCATGTTACAATATCGAGATGTATTTAAGTTCAATTAGTCAAGTTAAAGGGTGATTTTAAAACTATCAATAGTTCGGAGATGAAACTATTAATTCGTGATGAATTAAGAGGTATTTATAATACTTCTCTCCTAAAAAAAAAATTGAGTCTAACTCAACCAAAAACTAGGTAACAAGAGAAGAGTTGTCCAAATCTATATAAAGAGTCTAAATTCTCCATATCCCATCGATGTTGAACTTGACAAATCTACTAGTGTAAATTTAAATATATTTTTGTAACGATTTTATATCAATAGACAACGCATCTATCAACCTTTTATTATTAATAATAATAAAAATTATTAATAGAGATAATTAATTATAAACAAAGAGAGTTAGCCTCTACCTTATTGATCCTAAATAGGTAACGAAACAATAATTTAGAAAATTTTATCCTATTCACTCTAGTTTTTTTCATCTTATCATTCGATTACGGATGCTGCCATGTTAGATAAAGTTAAAAACAAATTATTATTATTACTATTACTATTATTATTACAACTAACAAGATACACAGTTGGTGAATATTAATGGAGTTGTGAATAATAAAGGACTTGTGCCAAAGTTTAATAAAGCATTTATTCCTTCATGTCTCCAAAAATACTGAAACAAGCATCATCAGTTATTACAGTATCAGAAGTGGTCACAGAAACTACATGCATGTGGTCGGTCCTTTTGGTGTCTCAACAATTAATGAAAAAATAAATCATAATGCATAAACACAAATTTAAATTTGATCTTAGTTAATAAGTAAATACTTCAATTTTAAATATATATCTAGATAACTTAACTTATTTTCATGCTTAGTTGAACCCTTCAACTTAAAAAATGATCATCTATGTATTTCTTAAATTTATGTATCACGTCAACATTGGATGTCCATGAAACACAATAGGGACGAGTTGAAGTGCGTAGTTACCAGTTGAGACCAAGTTGAAATGACTAAATGTATACTCTCAAAGTTAGTGAGATCAATTTTAAATGTCTATTTATATATTATACCAAAAACATAAATTAACTTACAATTCAACAATATGGTAATTAAAATAAAATTCATATGTAAAATAACTCGACATATGGTGAATGGCCAACATGGATTGTTGTTGGATGGTTCAAATATTGTTGGTATTCTTTACATCTTGTCTAGATGTTTCAAGTTCAAGCTCATTAAAATGGAAAAATAGAAATAGGCTCTGCAATATGTAAATGAATTTAATAGAATCTCAATACAAATATAAAAAATCTGACAAATGGTGAAATATGAGGTTGATAACCAACTTAATTTGAATTCTCTAGTCTAGTTAATATAAAGCGTACAAGTTATGAATATATATTTTTTTTGTTGTTTGGTTGATGATTTTCACAGTAAAGTTTTAGATTCTTTAGTGAATAAGATATTTACATTAAGTCAATAAATATAAAACATTTGTACGTTTATTAAAGTAATATGTATTTTCAATTTAATATGCCAACTCTAAAAATTACATGTTTAGAAAGATGTTAACACTCTATACAAATAAATATTTGCATATTAATAGACCAAATCTTCCAGCTGTTATCTTAATATCTCTATATATATACACAAAAGTGGCTAAAATTATTCAGATTATAATTTTGTTCCCCAACCAATAGACAAAACTTAAGAAGCCAACTACATGGTATAGCAGCAAAAATAGTTAATGGTGGTTGGATGTCTGATTATAAATTATTCACTGCTAATTAAATTGTATGTAAATGGTGTTGTTCAACCTCTCCATCACATTTTTTTTATTTAGTCATATTAATCATCGTAAAATTAGTTGTAATTATTTCTTAATTAAGATTTAGGTGGAATTGGCTGTCATTTGAAATTATCTTTTGGGAATATAATTAGTCGTTGTTGTTATAGTACTTGGCTGTCCAAACTCAATAATGATTTCTATGAGTAGAAACACAGGAAAAATTTACAAAAATGATATTTATCAAACTTTGATTGCTAAATTTAATGAAAATGGTGAAAATAAGAAATATTTAAAGAGAACTCACATTTATTTATTTTACCCTCCCTAGGAGCTCCCACCCATTTTGCTCCCTTGGTGACTCGAACTCGCAACCTTCAAGTTGGAAGTGAGGGGTGGTAGTACATATTTCATAATTTTTATTATTTTTTATCTATTTCAAGAGTCTAATGCAAATTGCCCTTGACTATGCAAAATAGATTATTTATACCCTATATTACATTTTAGGATAAAAAATGCCCCCGATGTTATCTCAGGAGACCACAAATACCCTCAAGAGTTAACGACCCAAATTTTTAAATGCAACTGAGAATATTATACAAACTATATTTGAAACTTGAGGATGTTATGTTAGAAAACATATGATTGAAAGATAGAACAAATAGGATAAACACATACAATCTTAAGACATCTACTGTCAAATCCAATTTTTTTGGTGTTAGAAACATACTAGAAAAAAAAACTCTTAATTCAATACAACTACATCTGGAAAACCTGATAATCCAAATTCAGATAGCATAAAACCATGTAATTGCTTATCTAATATATGCACATCTTGGTGAGCCACAAGCTTCATAGTAGTTAGAGAACCAAATCAGTTGACACATGGACATGTTCTTATTCATCAAGCCCATATTCTTCTCCGAAATAACTATCAACCAGCTCGTTCGCCATGCTCCTGAGTTCTTCATTTTCATGAAATTGATATCTTTCCATTGCATCAATACCATCTTCCCTTTCAACGAGCTTCGGACCCTCTCCATTTGGCATTCCTCTCAAGACCTGTAAAAACAGAAGTTACAAGAGACAATGGGCTTTGACTATGCAGTTAGGATAACTATCATCCGTCGTATCCATATCAACATACAATTGAAACAACACAAGATATCAAGTCAGCCAGGGCAGAGCTACATGATCCAAAGAGGGTTCAATTGAATCTCTTTCGTTGGACGTGCAAATAGGGTAAAAACAACTTTTTTTGAATATATAATAAGTATTTGAATCACTTTACACAAGAAAGCTTCTAATGTAATGGCAAAAGTTGGATTGAAAATTGCTTTAGGTCGCAGATTCAAATCCAAGAGTGGAATTCTTACGGTTTTTTGAATCCCCTTGATTCTTTTCTTTCTTGCTCACTGCAACATCACTGAAATCTAATTTTATGACCCTAGAGCAACTAATGATGACTAATTTGCTGGAATGAACCATAATCAACAGTCGTTATCTATCCAAGTAAATATAAAAGAGTGTGTGTGTGTGTGTGAGAGAGAGAGAGAGAGGTAACTCCTTTTACTACCTTCATTATGATTTTTTGTTGGGGTATGTAAACCATAAAACACACTCCGTTTATATAGGGAGAAGAAAAAGAAGCAAATAGAATATAAGATTGATCAACAACAACCATCCTCTGCTTACCAGCTCAATGAATTGCAGTCCCAATCTCGCTGCCTCAACATCAGCAGATCTTACCAAATCCAGAAAACCAGTTAGGCATCCTCCATGAACAAGATTGACCAAGTGGTCAAGAATCACATTTGGCCTTCCAGAACCTTCAGCAGGGGCAACACAGATGTTTCCCAGGACATACGCTACCTCCTTTTTTATGTCAAATGCAGCTTTAGAAAGAAGATTTAAAAGAAGCGGCATAGCTTCACTTGAATATATCAACCGCTTATGCTCCACTGAACCAGCAGCTATATTAGATAGCACCCATGCAGCTTCCTGGACATATTCAGAACTTCTAATAAACAGTATAACAATCTCTAAATATAAAAATAGTAAGTACCATTAGCATACCTTATTCAAGATGCGGTGTTCACTCTTTAAGCACTTTACTAGTGCTTGGATGGCATCACCTGGTAATATTAAGTTGTTGGAGGTTTAGATGTCATATAGTTTCTATGCCAAAAAAGAAGGGAGAAGTTCAAAACTAGCCTGTTAGCGCATGTCTCACAACAAGAACAAAATTAGTTATATGAGGTTCACCAGCCACAAGATTTCCCAAGCTCCGCAGCACCTGATTAAACCATAGTTGTCAAAGACTCAACATTAATGACATACACATAGAAGAAGGAGCCACATATCATAATGATTAACAAAAAGATCCACATCTTCCATCAGCAACACTTACCTAAAAGGCAACTGAACAATGAGATTTAATTAATTAATTTCTAGAAGTCAAGAAATTTAACGATTATTTACCACACTAGCTCTCAAAAGCCATCAAAAGCATTACACGGGACTTATTCTAGACTCTAGTTATAATACACATTCTGCATCAACTGTTATTAAAGCAAAATCTTGTGCTAATCATGAAATAACAAGAGCAAGTGTAGCTCTTTTTTTTTTTTTTTGAAACTGGTAAGGTTGAAGAGCAAGTGTAGCTCTTTTTCATACTAGAAGAGATATGTCATCATGACAACACCTTGATGGGGATGCATTTATAACAAGTAATGCTCTCTCTCTCTCTCTTGGGGTGGGATGGGAATTCAAGGGTTCCAATGATGCTGTGAACCTGTGTGACCATAATTTGATTCCTGTAAACCTCGTTTGACAAAAGTAAACTGACATGATCATGATATAAAACAAGTGCGGTTTTGACCTAACCTTTCAGTAGTCACTAATCAAACAGTATAAACTAAGAGAAAACATATAATATCGGACTACCTGAAATCAAGTTTTCAGAGATATCTTTGAAGAGTTGACAACTTAATACATGTGAGTCCTAAAATTTAAAATTGCCTGCGGCAACATCTGGATCGAGAGCAACCACTTTTCAGGATTCTTTCCTCCATGTCGTAACACTAAAAGTGCAGCTTACTATCTTATCCTTCAATTTCATAAGCAAAAATAGTGTCCAGCAAGAGCTACAGAAACTCAATTAGCAATCCGAAGTTGAGAATAAGGACAGCGGAATTGAAAATGGGGAACAGAAAACCCAAAAGGAACACAATGTTGCTTGTGATCGCATATATTTTCTATTCAACAAACAGTTTTAGTTTTTCAGAACGACACTTATCCTTTCAATTTGAGAGACCCAAAAATGAAGTCAGATTAGTCTTTTTATTCCATTAGTGATTTATTTAATTTTTACTTTTATTTTGACAAGTTCCATGTGATTGTTCTCAAAGCTCAGCAAGTACAAATAATAAGAATCTTTCTGGTAACATAAATCCACCAAACCCATAATATTAGTGTGCATGTTACCGGGATAAGCAGTTGCAGACTAGTTGACATGTCCAATATTTCTACCAGTACTTGTACGAGATCACTCTTTGCCAGTATTGTAGTTGCAACATTTGAAAGGGCAGTGAGATACACAACAACCCATGCTACTTCAGTGGCCAACTCATCATCCCTGGATGTGCCCAGCTAAGTAATTAGAAAAAGACATTGCAGAAAGATATCGGATAATTTGAATAATTATCTAATTTTAAGAGGCAAGCTACTTCTCCTTACGAGGTCAATAGATATTACCATAACATCTACAACAACAAAAAAATTAGTGTCATACACTTATAAGAAAGTATAGCAAACAAATGACAGTAAATTAAATGCATATCTTTGTAAATTGTAACCAAAAATATAACAGAATTCAATAGAGTATATATACAGATATACTCTATTATATACGGATATACCAGAAACCAGTTAGTTGGCACTCATAAGTACTGCCTTCACTAGTTTTTTTTTTTTTGTGTCTGTGTCTGTGTCTTGGGGGGGAGGTAAAGTAGTTTATTCAATACAAGGACTTTGGGCATAATTCAACTCTAAAAGTCAGCTTATGAGGGTAAGGATTGCCCAAAACCATATAAGGAGATAAACCCATCCTCAACCAATGTGGAACACTTACCACCTCCGCACAACCAGGCCTGCCAACTGAAGTGTGCAGTGCACAACACATCATAGGGGCCCAACATTGGGACATACAATAACAGGGATGGACCTGGCTCTATTGCCGTGTACACAAATGGACCTTGATCAAAACTCAACGACAAAAGCTTGCTCATGTGGTGAGAGACAAACAACCCATCCCTCAACCAATGTGGAACACTTAGCAGTAGTAACATTACCAACAAGGTACAGTAGATAGTACAAAAAGTATGGACTTGTACATCACTACAAAGCAAGTGACTCCGAAACAACCTACCCTTTCTTTAAATGTCGAACAATTCTATCAGGTATTCCATCAATTTTTATCAACTCTGTTGCAGCTCTAGGATCTGGTCCCTACACAAAACAAAGAGGATCTTACATTTCAAAAGTTCAAAAAAAATCAGAAGACATCATGTTCAAAATAAAAATAAAAATCAGAAGACATACACTCAAGAGGGAAAAGAAGTAACAAGTAAACCATTCTCTCAGATTGTCAAAAAGAGTTGGTAGCAAAAAGCAAGGTAATAATCAATTTGCTTTTGGTTATCACCTAAAGATGAATTGTACTGATGGGACAGACAGTAATTTTTTTTCAAAATAATCAGATAATATGCACAATAAGGAAAGAAACTTCATTCTTGAACCTTGATTAGGTTTGATAATGCCCAAGCAGCTGTTCTCACTGTTGACCTCTTGTTAGGCAGCAGCATCCTTGCAAGAGCTGGTAAGGCTCCTTGTAATAGGAGAACATTTCTCAGCTCTTCACTTTCACCAGCAACATTTCCCAATGCCCATGCACACTGCTCCACGACATGTAAGGAACTCTTCTCTACAAATTAATAAGAACAAAACAGTGAATAATTAATCAAATGTAAACTTAACAAAAGAAATATCAATTCTATCCATTGTCCCAATAACTTAACTGTGAAGAAGCAATGGCTTATATGGTTGACGTCAGACCCTGCTACTGAGGGAATAACTACTCTACGTTATAATGCTTGATCTTTATCACATAGAGACAATAATAAAATGCCATTAAGTCTTTACAGTCAATGTGGTACCAGAGGTGAAATTTTATTGCTTAAAGTCTGATTAATTTCCAAAGGATACAATCAGATATAAGGTCCAAATACGATCAATTTTTTCTCTGGTGGCAAAAAGTGCCATTATGTGTCTCCTTATCTCTGTGGTACCCATATTTTCACTGGTCCTTTTGTCAATTGGTAAAAAGATGGTGTATTACTTTTGAGGAAGTTAATTAAGCAATCAAAGTCGAATGTGTCAATCCGTTTACGGCCTCAATCTCCAAGGGCATTATTTGGCTGTTCTAGCTCATATTTCCAAATGAAGCAAACCATTAAGGGGCCGTTTGGTAGAGTGTATTAAAAAAAAAAATGCATTAGCCTTGTGTATTAGTAGTACCTTGCTTGGTACTATTTTCCAACCTATGTTTAACTAATGCTTGCATTAGCATAAACTCTATTGTGTATTAAGGTGTGTATTGCTAATACCATGGATTTCTAGGTATTAGCAATGCAATAGTTTTAATGCATGCATTAACTCAATTAAAGACCCAATTGCCCCTCAATACCTTCTTTATGTCTTTTCCACCATAATAGCGAAGGGTATCTTTGTAAATAATTTTTTTAATGCAATGCATTCGATTTTTAATACATCAAACCAAACAATGCATAAAAATAATCTATGTATAACTAATGCAAGCATTGCTAATGCAAGCATTACTAATACACCCTATTTAACATTATTTTTATACACTCTACCAAACCCCCAAGTCTTTTACCAACATTCTTCTTCTTTCTTTCTTCTTTCTGATAACCGAAAAATCTCCAATGGACAGTAACGCACATTTCGAAACTCGGTGGTTAATGGACCGGCCACTTTATCCTTCTCCACTTAAATACCAAGCTTTTCTTTATGGTAGGCCAGTAGGATTTGAACTTGTGACGCGCACCTAATCCACACATCGCATATTGTGATCTTACCACTAGATCAAAGCTCGGACTTCCCTAGTTTCTTGTGTTCATGACACTATCCTGACATGTCATGATCATAAAGGGTTGATCAATTTAAATAGCACCTTATCATTTCTGGAGCAAAAACTCGCAAAACTAAAATACCTTTTTAGAATAAAGGCGGCAGAACTCTGGTACACTGGATCCGGACTTATTCATCCTCTAAGGATCCAAATCTTTCATTTATTCCTATATAATTTTTTTGAAACTGGTAACATTTCATTTATTCCTATATAATGGGGTCTTTTAAATGACCTAGCACTATATAGGAGATTTGTTCACTAGATCAACTTTCTCAAAATCACACAACCTGATATATCATTCATTTTTAGCGTGGTTAGCCAGATTCTGCCGGCTTCTTGTAACAGACGTTGGTATGCTTTGATGCGCATTCACAGGTGTATCGATCGCCATGATAAGGACTAATTATTAAAAAAACGGAGGACGTGTATCAATTCTTGGGTATTTTACTTCCAGGCTCCAGCAAGCAGAAATTCCCTTGGATAGACAACTCACCTCATCGAATCTCTTAGAAAAGTAAAAACCAAAGATGTGATGACCAAACCAAGCGTGGACCTAGAGTATTGAGCCATGGCCTTAACCACGTGAGGGAATACGATAAAAGTTGTTTCTTAATAAGCTAAAATCCAACGGAAAATTGATACAATTAAGCCACTACAAATTCCCACGTTTTGTCAAAGAAAGAGAAATAGATTGTTGGCAAAATATTGACCAAAGATATGTAGCTATGACTTATGAGTCATCAAGTCAGATGACCAACTAGTAAATATTCTTACATAATTCCAAGGTCCCAGAACTGACGGCATCTAAAAAATTATATTTTTTAAATTACATCAATCTTTGTAATTGTGGTAAGGATTTGTGAGAATCTTCAGATAGCTTAGATAAGGTAGATGTATTCTGGAATTTTTCTGTTGTTGAAAAGGGAACCCACAGCGCTATCTTTTGGGGGCCGCATAGGGCAAACCCTGCTCCTGTGCAATAGCCCGCAAACCACACATGAGAGGTAAATTGCACTAGGCAAGCCCCGTGCGACGAGCATACCCCCCTGTTGTCATAGGCAAGGGGTTTCAAAAGACCTCCATCTAGTCACTGTGTTAATATTTCATTATCTGTATTATATGTACTTCAAACTCGAGGCTGGATATGGTAATTTCAAGAAATAACTTAAAGTATACTTGAAAATCAAACTGAAGAAAGAGAGACTTCCACCAACCTCCTAGATGAGCCACAAGCAATGGTAATGCAGGCAACAAAGCTTTGGTTTCCTCGGGTTTTCCAGCAGCAATATTAGTTAGGCACCAAGCAGCCTCAAGCAACTACATCAAGATAATGACCCAGGTAAGACATTGACAATATATAGGTCTCAAGTCATTGAAATTTTTTCCCATTTTCTTTAAAAGAGAGATAAGGCCACCATTAATCGCTTGGTTACCAAGCATGAGAGAGAAATTTCTATATGCGATGATTCAGTAACGTGCGTATAACTTGTTAACAGAAGCTGCAACATTGTGTGAAATCAAGCCAATGATTATCACAAAGATTTGACCAAATAAAAGTGTGATCTTCCATCAAGCACAAAGCAACTCCCAACAAAGCCAAAAGTACAACTATACAAGTATGCTATGTGACATATGAGAAGTCTTTAAGAAGAAATCAAAACTACTTACATTAACAGTCAGCAGAAATTTTTAATGCATTCCTTTACCTGTTCATCTGGAGAGCCAAATGAAAGACACTGAATAAGAAGAGGTATAGCTCCAGCCTGTAGGGCAGCTTCAACAGGAGGGAATTCCGACCTAGAGAGAAAGCGTCTCAGCTCACGAAGAGCATTCACCCTTTTCTCTGTTGCCCCTTTACCCCTAGCAATTGTGAGACTTCACTTAATCAGTAACTGAAAGGGAAAACATATGGCATGATGAACTGTCAAATACATAAAGCTTATAGCGAATCACCGGTGAAGACTACAGCAGAAATCATTTTCAAGTCCCCATCCAATAGTCTAGGGGGAGCTCCAAAGATCAATGGCAAGGTGAACTCTGGAAGGACCACACAATTCTTTATTGAAGTACCTCTACTACAACAAGCCTTATGCTTCAATCCCAAACTAAGTTGCAGGCAGTTACTATACCTATTCACTCTATCTGGTTCTGTTTCTTTCCGACACTTAATATTTTATCTTTTCATACAGATTAGATATTTTCTATATATCACACTTATTCCTATGAAATCACTAACAAGAAATACACCAAGAATGTTATATGAATGGGGACTCCATGAATAGTCAATGAGGATTAAAGGCGTTAAAAGAGGATAGAGTAAACCTAACATCACACGAAGACAATGAAAGTAAACAGAAGCAATTACAACTAACCAAGATAACTGAAATTTAAGATAGAAAACAAAATGTAACACAAAAAGCTACTGTTCGCAATCAAAATTTCTTCATAGCAAAACAAAAAGTATTCTCCATACTGGTAGGCAACATCAAGTTTTAATTCTTCCACAGCTGCCGAAGTCAAGGCCTCCAAAATTGCTTGATCTTCTTCAATCATCATATCACTATCATCAATAGAGGCCTCATCAAAATCACCACTAACTCCCACTCTGCATAGCCGCTTTGTACGCATCAGGGCTTCTCTCCTTTCCTTCCCCACTGTAACAGCATGTTGCCGTCTTCGCTGTGCTGCAGCATTGCCAACTGAAAAAAACCAAATTCACACTAAATCAAACAGAAACAAGACATCCATTCAACACATAAACATAACCAAGTTCAAATCTTGAAACTTTAGCAATTAGGAGAAATGAACAAAACTTCACTAACCAACTAATTCTTTAGCTAAGAAAAAACCCAATACCACAACCAAGCTTATATTTTTGTTGGACATTTAATCAAAGATAAAAACTTGGTCTTTACATTTCAAAACTACCAAGATTGAATTTTTTTCAACATAAACTGAGCAAAATAGGATAAAAAGGAGTTTCCATACCTGAAGCTTTGATGGGGTCTCTTTTATGAGAAACCAAACCTTCATCTGCCATAGTTTTGATTGCCCAATGAACTCTTCAAATGGGGGATTTCGTCAATAGCAGAAAATATGATAACTTTTTTGAATTAAACGAGAAGTAGGGTTCTTGAAGTACCAAAATCTTTGGGTTTTTTAAGAAAATGAAACATATCTTGCACTCAATTTAACGATGAATTTTTGGGAAAATTGAATTCCAGCTAGGTATAGTTGGGTGCGTTTTTCCTATTGTGTTTTCTTTTTCTTTTTTTCTGTTGTTTTTGTATTTTTTATCTTTTTGGTTTTTGTTGTTATTATTGATTCTCAAAATTCTTCTTTTATAGTCAAAAAGATTCTGACATGAAAATAAAATAAATTTAGAATGCAATTTATAGGAGCCTTTGACGACCTTTCCTTAGCGAGAGATTTGAGATTTGAGATTCGAGTTTTGGGTATGATTTTTTTTTATAGGTAGCGTTTTTTTTTAACGGGGTCTTACATAGCGCGAATCAAAATAATTAAGTTTTAATATGGAAATCGAACATCGGATACAAAATAAATTATAAAAGCCTTTTCTCCCGCTTTATCAATTCACTAGTTATTCACTAAAGGGCGGATTTAAAATTTGAAGATCTTGGATGTCATAATTCGAGAAAATGATCCTTAATGTATGGCAGTTGAAATGTTTTGGTCCTTTATCTATCCCACTTAATGGATATAGTCCTTAATGTATGTAAAATATGATCATTTTGGTCCTAAACCTAAAACGTAATACTTATTCGTTAACTTTAACGGGAAAAACTAAAAAAGCATCCTCCTCCTCTACGCACTCTCTCCTCCTTTCTTCCTTGGCGTTGCTGCTTCTGTAATTGAATTTCTATGTTCTTTTTTTTTTCCAAATTGGTTCCAAACAAAAATTAAATTTCTTTTATTTATAAGAAGCATATATTTTAAATTGATTATGAAAACTCTTAAAAGTAGTATTGTCTGTGTTTGTGTTGCGTTTCTTCCATCAGGTCTGCCCAATTTCTCCTAAAATTTTATCAGATTTCACCCCTTTGAATCGACGAGGCTTATCATTTACCTCCATGGATATTTTAAATCGTGATCTTAAACTTGATTCTTGTTGTAAGTTGGCCAAATTATTATTTTTTTCTCTTTAATCCCCTTCATCATCAATGTCTATTTTTCTCTGGGAGTGTGTGGGAGTTTCTTAAATTTTAAATTGTTTTGTTGAAATCCATGTCGTGGTAGAAGCAGTAGCAGGGAGGAAGAAATGAGGAGAGAGAAGGTAGAGAATTTGAGTTTATCTGTTAAACTTTAACGGATATTGTTAAATTTTAGGGTTAGGACCAAAATAATCACATTTTATATACATTAAGTGGTATATATCAAGGATCAAAACACTTCAACCTCCATACATTAAGGATCATTTTGATCATTTTCTCGTCATAATTCATTTCAAATAAAAGAAATAGGTTGATTTGTTCAGTTTTGAGTTATGATTCAAATTGTTCGATCGAATATGTATGTTTAGTAATATCGTCTTTTAAATATTTTGAGATTAAAAATACTTAAGTAATTTAATTTTTCTTTTATGATATATTAAATGAAATTTCATATACATTCATTGTTAATTTGTTATATATAAATTCGCACATACGTGCATTGGACATATGATATCTTAATATGCGTAAGAATATTTTCTTAAAGAAATAACGTAAATGATACTAAATGTATATGTGATATAACTATACATAATTATAAATTATGGAAAAATGATAAATATTATCGTCAAAAACACATTTAAATTTATAATTTTTCGAGTTTCTTCATATATGAACTATCATGTATGCAAGGTCTTTTATCGAATTATCACCAACTTTTTGTTAAAACGGTACACTTTAACTATCAATTGTTTTCCTTTCTACTAAAATCTCACATATATGATGATTCAGATATACATCTCAACAAAAATAAGATATTTTAAATATGTTTTTGACTGGTTCTTTAACTAATTTGACTGACAAATATGAATAGACTTTGTTTAGATTTGATCAGAGTGAATGGAATTAGTCTATGGTATTATAATATTTGAGATGCATCGCTCAGAAAATTATTATATCCCAAGTTCAAACAAAACAGAGAATAATTAATTAGTTAGAAAGTAATGTATTGTTGTTACAATTTGTCGTCACATATATATATATATAAAAAAACTAATAATTGTTGTTAAAAATAAAATAAAATTGGGACTTGGGAGTAGGGTGAGGGAAAATGTAGGTTACAAAGTATGGAATCGGGACTGTCATCTACAAAGTGAAAGTTCAAATAATTAATCAATTAAACTATTAAAATTTTCTATAAATATATAAACTTAAGATATTTGTTTGATTTAAAATAAAAATTAAAATCAACAAAATATTACATTTAGAACGTGTGCAAATTAACCAAATTTAAATGTGCAACCCCCAAGAGCTGTTATAAAAATGAAATGTTACTATTATAAAATTAATTGTAATCTCTTCATCTAGATAAAATTAAGTGAATCTATTTAAGAATCATGTTAATTTAAATTAAAAGAATATAATAATGAAATTGAATTGTACTGTCATTACGTATATGGAGTTCTTTTTGACAATTTTGAACAATATGTATATAATTAAATAAGGGTGATTATAGATATGTACTTTTGAAGAAGTTAAAACTCAAATAGAAACAAGTAAAAGATATATTCTCACCATTTAATTTGTTTGTCTATTTTTTATTTGACATGAAATTTTATAATAGTGAAGAATTTTTTTAAATTTTGTAATTTTAAACTAAAGATATGTCGAATATATTACGACATTATTTAATCTTATGATTTAAAATACATTACGTGAAAAGTTGAAACTAAAGAATTATTTTTAAAAAAAAGACATTTTTTCACTAAAAGAAAGTAGGACAAACAAATTGAGACAAATAAAGTAATTAAATAAGGTCATAGATTTTATATCGGATTGAAAGATAAATATCTTTAAAATTTTGTTTGGCCATAAAATTTGAGCAAATTTTGAAAAGATCTGATCTTCAATTATTTTCAACTTCTCAAAAATTGGTCTGATACAAATCATTTCTTTTGAATTTCCACTCATAAAACTTTATTTTTTTTCTAAGTAAAATGATCCTAAACACAACATCAAATTTCAGAAAATTACAATTTTCAAAACTTAATTTTTTAAATTTTAAATTTTAACTACAAAATTTATGATCAAACGAAAACTAAGTCACCACCGTACATGCCATTTGGACCTTTTTCATTGATGAAAGCATGTAAAGTATATGAATAAATAAAGTACACATTGAATAATATCAGTACAATTTTGAGGTAGAGTAAAAATATTTGTGTATATAAATTTTGTTTTCTCAAACTTACTTTACTAGATTATATTTCATTAGATATATTATCGTTAACTTTGGAAATAATCAAGAAAGTATGTAAATAAATACTAAACTTGACATGATAAATAATTTAAGTTTCAACTCGTGTCATGTGTGGTATATATTCTTTCCCCAAGCAATTATTGAACTAGAAACATCTTCGTTGAATTTGTGTTTAGATGAAAGCATCCCCATATCTTTTATCAGTAAAAAATTATCTGTCCTCGATATTTATACACATCAATAAACATCTTCATTGTGTGATTGTTAATAGACAATATTGTACTATTTGATCATAGTTAATATGAGTAAATAATATTTTATTACATTAAATCACTTAATTACATACAATAAGTTGATATAGTTTGATGTAAATATCAAATGCAGATAAATTAACCGCTGCACCGAAAGTTTAATTATTCTCTTTTAGTCAGTGAAAAGTGACAAAAACTAAAGGTGACAATAACATGTGTTGCAAATCCCAGTAATTTGAATAAAAAAGATATGGTTATATCCACCATTATTGGGGCTACATAAATAAAATTACAAACTATATATTACAATTATTTTAAAAGTAATTACAAAGTCAAGCTAATAGCTATTATAAATAAATTAAAGGAGCCACTACCAAAAAAAAAGAAGTTTTGGGAGTAAAAAAAAAAGGTTCGAGCTTATATTAATCGTAACTCTAAAATAGACATTAAACTCTGAACTCTATGAAACAAATCTCTTGTTATTCTTTATTAGCTTAATAAGGTCGATTATTAACCGATTGATTGATTAAATAATTAGATAACCAACAGTCATACACATAATGAAAGAATAAAAAGAATATAATGATATTATACCAGTATTATTTAATATGATTTCTTATATTAATTATTAAGCTGATTGGTCATGTATAGAAAATTTCCATCCCGGTTTTAATTCTATATATATATACATTGTATATAATTATTTTACACGATCAAATTGCCTATAATAACACATACGTAACTATTATAACAATTAGCATGTCCCCAAACCCGAAAAAAAAAGACTAAATATCTTGCTAATTAACGAGTTAAAATGTTAATATAGTTTATTTTACTATAAGATATTTGAAGTGGAGATCGTAACGAAACTATAATATTAAGTTTGAATTTGAACATATTCAATAACTTGCTTAGATTTTGTATTGCATTAGAAAATTGTTGATCTAATAACTAAAACGAGCTCTAAATTCAATAATAAGTTCAGAATAGATAAACTTCAACGATCACAAAGAGGTATGGGATGAAAGTATCTGTCACACATAGAAGTTGACATATGTGGAAGGACCATGCCCATCTCACATAGTTCATTAGCTGTTGCCTGTTGGTCATGCCATTCAACTCAGCATATCACCATGTCATTGTCCTATAACTCATTATAATTTAGGAACTCAGACATGAAATCTTTAAGTGTTTTGAAATAAAATTTACATATTTAAAAATTACGTAAAATATACTACACGTCATAATAAATATTCATTTGAATCTCAAAATCTGAAAGGTACCCCACTATGCTACAAAGGTGCCAATGTTTGGTTAAGAAAACAAAGTAGACAAGTTATAACTGCCCCATATTTTTCCACTATAAATTCCAAATACTACATATCAAATTGAAACAAAATTACATTTTGTCATAAAAAAAAATTAGAACATAAAGTCCCCATAATGTGTGTAGTGTCATTCTATTGTTGAATTTATTAAATTGAAGAGGAAAATAAAATAAACAGAAAAATAGTAGGCAAGAAAACACAAGGGTAATTTATTAGTGCAATTAGGTCCAGCCAAATGGGGTCTGCTAAATAGGATGTCCTTCTATGACATTTGCAATAATACACACATGGGACTGTCTACACTCCACTCCCCCTCT